TGTGATATCAGCAGCCACATTCAGCAGATTGACAAAGAAATCGGCCGATAAAAGATACGAGACTGATGGTTTTTTAAGAAACTTCCTAATTTCTAATTATTTTTTCACCCCCCCCCCCCACGTATTATGGGTGTATGACGTATGTATTCTATTTGTGAATAATATTCAATATTTTATTTTTGAAAAAAAGAAATTCGTGTTTAGTTTGTTTTGAGGTTTCTTCAACTATAAAAAATTGTTTATTATAACGCTTGAAATGTTTATCATCTTACATTATAAGCAAGCGTCGTAAAATGTAGTTTTAGACAAACTGCCAGTCATAACACAATGGAAAAGTAAAATAAAACTCTACTCTAAAAATACCCGCTTAAAAAAGACAACTACACATTTTTACTAGAACATAAAAAGTATATTATGCCGAACACATTTATTTCGAATTTTTGTGGATAATCAAACGTCAATTATACATTTTACTAAAATTAAAAATTTATATAATAGACACTAGTTGGCAAAAAGGGTTTAAATTAGAGCTGCCGATTACACGTGTAAGTTTTAATAAGACCTGTAATTTTACGCGATACTATTATTTAATTAATGCTTGTCACTAAAAATAAAGTATTACAGCCATTGGATCAAGTTAGTGGAATCTTTAGAATATATGTCTTGACCACCATTGTATTTTTTCTAGATTGGTGTGGTCTACTTACACGGGTATTCGAACTACACGAACTTGTCCTACACGTGTATTTAAAATACATTTGTGGTAAATAAACTTTCTCACAATTTTCCTTTTACTACCAAAAAGTGAAAGAAAATTAAAATTTTTTTATAATATTAAGACTTTTTTAAGATATTACTAACGTTAAAAAGTATTTGAGTAATTGTATTTAAATAAATTATTAGAATACCATTTAAAATATGTTTTAAATACTTCAATATTATTACTTTAAAGTCAAAATGTTAATTAATGTTGTATTTTCATTGTTGGTAAACAATTCAACTCCAAAACTATGATCACTTTTCAGCGATTTACCGTTGTTTTTAAACGAAATATGTTAAAATGTAAAAAAATTATATTAACGCGTTTAACAAGTATATTAATATATAACAAAATATTAAAGTCGAAAACCAAAATATTTCTTTTTTAGTATATATTTTTTTTTTATACACAGAATTGATGAGGGGGAACTGTTGATTACATGACTCTCTTTATACTATGTTAATATTGAAAATAACGAAGATCATTTAATTTATTTTTTCAACAGACAAGACATTTATAATAGTACATTTTTTTTTTGTATTTAAGTATACACGTTGGGTGTTTGCACAGATTTATTAAATACTAATTTCAAAATTATTTTAAATACTATTTAAACGATCGTATATTCGTGTAACAAAAAAAAAAAGTATTTACTACACGATTGGATATGGCAGACCATTGAAATCAATTTGAATAGATGTTTTTCGTTGACACTGGCATTATATATAAAAACAGGCCGAGTGATTTTTTTTTTTTTATTAATTGACCGCCCCGAGGCGAATCGAATTGGTCGTACAACGACGTTCGTTAGATAATGTACTTTCCAATTCCATTTGACGGGAATTCTTATTTAATTGAACACTCGATCAAAAACGTCCGAGTGCGAAAGTATAGCGCGAAACAACTACCAAACGCCGGCAAGAGGAGCGTTTTGTATAGGCGGGTCCGCGCATTATTTGACATTACACCTACCGTTGTAGTAGGCATAGTATTTCAGCAGAGTAAATAATAACCGCAGTGAACCGAGTCGTCAGATGGGCAGAATAGGTATAAATTCTGCTGAGATTTCCAAAAAAAGTATTCGTCGTCGCGATTCGTTTTTGCAATCATAGCAAACCACGTCACGCTCGAACGCGCGGCCGTTGATTTATATATTCGAATATGTGCCAAAAAACGCATTTTGTATATACAGCCCCCTGATTTTTTTTGATTTTTTTTTTCAAAAGTAACACGCCTCCACCATTTATGGTTTCGTCATGATATTTTGCGGTATTAAAGAAAATTACTAAAGATTTAAAATCGTTAAGTGTTTCCCGCAGCTCTTATCAACTCGAAAATCTGAATGGTAACACACGTATTCAACGAACTTTATAAATTAAGAATAATTTGCCAAAAACGTTGACTAGTCGATAACCAGTTTTGGATAGTTTAAATTCACGACGGCAGAAAAGGTGGAGTGTAGTAGTATATTTGAAATACTAAAAAAGATAAGAGATGGGCTATATATTAAGGTTTTGTACGATTTTCTCAAAAACCTAACCTATTCTAATCTCCTTGGTGTAAAGAGAGGAAAGGCGATAGTCAAGTCTGGATAAGGAAGGAAGGGATGGAGGATAATCGATAATTCCTGGACAACTAATAGGAAAATAAACTGATGAGAGATGATTGATAAAGAGACGGAAAATCAGCTGATCATAAGACATGTTCATGATCCAATGTCTTTCCTTCGAGGGAAAAATTGAATTTAAACAAAAGACCGAGCTTATGCTTAACATGAAAAACGAATCGGTAATCTGTAATGGTATGACTTATCTGATAATAATATGCAAGTCAAAAATCTAATTTGACTACCGTTGTTCCGTCAGTCACCAAATATAATGATACACGTCATGTTTTGTGTTCGGCAATTTCATTCCACTGTAATTCGACGCTTTTCAATGTACTTTTTATTTCTTTGGAATGTACACAACTTTCCTTTAAGCACGCAGAATTGGGTAAATACTGATATGATTCAAAGTTCTTGGCGTGTTCCAGAAAATTGCTTTGTTAAATTACATAAATTTGCCTGTTCCTTTGCATTTAGTTTGATAGCTAAATTTTACAAAACCGTAGTCGACATGATAATTAGACCTTCAAAATTAACGCGGCAAAATCGATACGTTCAACAATTTTAATTACCTTCGGGTGTAGGTAGTAAAAGTTCAAACAATTTTTATTTTCTACCTACTCACGCTAATAATATATTTTTCAATGCATCTTAACAGTATGAACAAGACGAGCGGATATTTGTCTATTTATATAATAACTTTCGACAATTTTAAAATCACATTTTTTGTACAATTATTCTTTCCCGGGTTCAATACTATACTGGTTTATCCCACGACATAACTTTACACTTGGCATAGAGTGATTTCACAATAAAAGATCCAATTAAGTTTGGCACGTGAGTCATATGTTTTACCATTATAACATAGTAAAGATGATACTGAATACCATCAAACCAGTGGTTTTAATTAGTAATTACTTTTTCCCTTTCCACCGTGACGGTGTATCAACTGTTGACATAATTTTTCAATTGTCGTTATCGCTGCACGGGTCTAAGTGTATTTTCAATTTTTCTTAATTTTTCTAAAGACGATTTCGATAATTCCGGCATTAATCGATTTCGGTTCGAAATTATCGTGATTCATCGTGTTTAGACTATAATCATGTCCCAGGGGGGTTGATGTGTGTATTTCACTCAAACTCCGTTTACAAACGGTTCGGCTTTTGCACATGATATTTATACATCATAATAATATATTAGGTTTGATTTTAATTGCAGACCAGTGTAATAAATATAGTTCGACGTTTGCCTGGATTAACGGGGACGGACAGCATTTTGAAAAAGAAAAAAAGATACGTTTCATTCATCAGAACGAATAAAACGACAAACGTCGACCCGATTGAACATTATACGAGACCGCCAAATAATAAATATCTTACATAAAAGCAGCCGCGTGCGCTTACAATTTTCGCTCAGCCTACATTCAACTAAACGCATAGTTGAAAAATCCTATTTCGACGATAAACGTTGGTTCGCGTGTTGCAAATCGACCTTAAGACAAACGACCGTTCGACCTTTGTACGACTAATTAAACGCCGCGTCGAGACCTCACCAAAATTATTATCCAACAACGTTCCGTTTGCCATTGACCACAGCACGGATGTTTTTAAGCAATCTAACGCGTATTATTTTGTGCTTCGGTACTCACTATATAATACATAATATATATATATATATATATATACACATTATTCTCTCTCTAAATGCGCTGCAAGGGATCCCCGCGAGGGGCTAACGCGTGAAGCCGGACAAGGGACACAGCTGGTAACGGCGTACGGATTAAACGCTTCGTGTACGAATGTAGAACACAGTGTGATGTATAGCATAATTCAGATACAATCGTAAAGTCCTCTAAAAAACAAATAGACGAAAAAAATATCGTATAAAAAACGTAAGTAAAGTGCAATGGTATCGATTAATTTTCTCACAAACTAAACGTGCGGTTAAAATACAAACAGCTGGAACTCTGCACGGGTAATTAAAAAGGCTAAAAAAAATTTTTATTTTGCTCTGGTGGTGTAATATAAAATGAAATTTCCGGCGCGTATAGCTTTAAAATGTTTAAAAGTGTGACAAACGCAAGTGATCAAACAGTTGACTGTTGCATCAGAGTCGGTTAGGTCAACAAACTACTTTGCTGATTGTCCGGAACTTCTAGACAGAACTTCTAACTGGCCATTATTTTCATCCCTTCTAATAATTAATTATGCATTATTGCATAAAAATACTAATCGACTAATGTGTTACATCCCATCTGGACCATCTTAAACCCACTCGACAACAACGTAGAGTTTCAAAAACACAGTGTTGGATGTCAGTGTTATTAATACGCTAAACTCGTGCATAATTTTCGATCTTACGATAAAAATCACACACGGAAAACAAACAAGTTAATTAATTTATCGTTACGGGGCTTGTGTTCACGTTTTTAGTCTTTATTAACCTAACCTCGCACGATTAAAAAATTAAGAAACTAGCGTTACTAACACTTCTGTGCATTTTGTAAACGTAAAGGTCGCTAGAGTTCAAGATTAACTGGACGGGTTATGAAAATGACATAAGTCTTTATTCTTTGTTTGAACTTTATGATAAAATACACTCTTGATATAGCGTTATCTAGCAAGTGTAAAGTACCTGGAAGTTCCAAAAAATTTGAAGTCCGACGTTGCCGTCCACGGGCGGTAGCGTTGAAGTTAAGCGGGGCCAGCTCTTCGTTAGAAAATTGCGAATCCCGGCTGCTCCTGCGGGAAGCCAAGTAGGCCAGACCTCGTCCCCTGGGCGACGAAGGTCGAGATAACGAAGCCGATGTTATGGAATGATCCTCTTCCGTACATCCAGTCAAATCGGATGCCGATCTGAAATGCAAAATTGGATATTCTATTAAAAAGAAAACACAAAAAGGTTACACAAGTATATATAATGAAATGCTATAAATTTTTTTCGTATTAGTTTTATTTCACACGACATTCTATTGCGTTGTACTAAATATGCGTGTGTGTGTTTAAGGAATGATACGTTGATAAAAGATGAACAACTTATATGGTCCAAGAAAATAAAAAAAAAACCCAAAGAAGATTGGGGACGTATCGCTTTCGCACGATGAGTTACTAGTTTGTTTCAGCTGGTACAAGCCAATAGTTTAATATAATAAGGTGCGCCATAATAAAATATACCAAACCCGAGTTTCCATTAAAAAAGGTTCAACACACATTTAATTTTTCAATAGCGTTTTATTTATTGTTTTAAAAGTTAATTTTGATGTATAACCTACCTACACGCGTGTAGACCGGGGGTTCGGTAATATAAAAAAAAACCACAAAGCTATAATAATACCTAATAATAGTAACACAAATAATTATTTAGAAAAATACAGGTGTACGGTGGTCAAATGCGGTATTATTTTGGGCGAGTTCGCGATGATTATCTTTGATGTGAATACCAAACAAAAAACCGCGCTATAACACAAACTCGCCATGACTTTTGCCATTTACACAACGTTACATTACCTAATGATGTATTATAAACAACAAAAACCTTACCTCAGGCATGGGTATGATTTGTACGTCGGGCCTAAAATATCCGCGATAAGTGAACTCGATAAACGCGGGAGGGAAAAGTTTTTCCCGGCTTTTGTTTTTACCCCTATTTACCCCGACTTTTAATCGCGTCAAGGAATTCCAATTGAAATAGACTTTGGCCGCAAACGTCGTAAAATACTACGAGAAGCATGGCGGTCAAAGTAAAAGCGCTAACCCATAAAAATAACTTAACATTGGACGGTTTGACTCGTGTAACTATGCATTACACCCCCCCCCTCCCCCACCTTCTCAAAAAAAAAGGCTTGATCAAGAAAAAGTATCGTCGAAAAACCTATACAACCCACTCGGTTTATCTTGAGCAGTTTTGTAAATGACCTTTCATAAACCACAGAACTTTTCTAGACAAGTAAGACGATCCGGCGAAAATCACATCGTTCAAAAATCAAAATGGTGAACAATTATTTTTAAACATGCATCGTTTGTGTTCAGGTACATTAAATGTACCCGAATTAATTAAAACCTTGAAAAAAATATATAACTCTTGAATAAAAACAATGTTTGTGGATATGGTAATTACCGAATTTCCTTACTCGTCTCTTCTAAACCGTGCTGGGATCTGCACAAATGAATTATCTGAGCTGGTGTAAACGATAATTCGCTACATAATTTATTAGCTTTTGCCGGGTGGTTAGTGGTTACGCCTCAATAATTAAGTATACATAATAACGCCCTAACGCAATCCCGCCTAAACGTAATGGCACAGGTGTTGGAAATTGAAATTTGATCTTTTCCACGTACACTGTCTTAACGGTTTTTTACATAAAAAAATAATAACCATTTACCCGGTAGGCGGGTGGTAACCTACGTACGTCTCTGTTTATTTTACAAAATTGCGTTTGGAAGTGTTGTATTACCCGGACGCCTATAAAACATTACTAAAATAATAACGACACTTTTTAATTATCATTATTGTTATTCTGGCAATCAAATTTTAAAAAGTCGACCCCCGACGACTATAAACACTAAAAGGGTTAATGATACAAAATAAAAAACCCCAAGCCAAGCTATTCACGATTGGGGTTAAGTTGTAAAATATTATTATACCTCCGTTTATTTTGTACAGCTGTTAAACAAGTATTCAAATTTATTCGCAAAAATAATAATCGTTCTCAAATATTTGCCAAAATGAATTGAAAATTATTTCAATAAAAAGGTCCAACTCGAGTGTCTGCGTTTATTATACGGGATATATAATGTAATTAATTCCAAAAATTACTAATTAGTGTTACTATAAATGATGTTAAGCCTTGATCATTGATATAATAAAATGGATCAATCGTGTAGCTTCTCTGTCGAATAGCAGTCAGGTCAATCTGATAGATGCCTAAAGTAAAAAAAAAAATTATTTATGAGACAGATAACTAATTATATTGTCATTGGCAGATCCTAAGAGGTGAGAAAATTAACGACCACACCCTTATTTCGCTTGATGAGTTGTACTACTGTTTATTATTTAATTTCATTAAAAAAACATTGTAAAATACATCCAAAGTATAGTTGGTTTTAGAAATAAAGGACCATGAAAATATACATTTAAATCGATCAAAAATCATAACTGGAACTACCACAACTTTTTTGTCCGTCAAAATAAATAGTTATACCCCAGCACTTACGGATCTTCAAAACTACAAGTTCAAAAACTATGGACAGAGAGAGGAATTATGTTGAGTGTAAAAAATATATTATACATGAGGTGAAAATATAGTACATCAAGCTGATCGCGGCTATTTATTAAGAGAGAAAATATTATAGACAATGTATTTAAAAATAACTAATTAAATCAATTCAGTTTAGTCATTATTATAAATTGTTTTCTGGTAAATTTGTAGGTATTAGCTTAAATGTATGATTTTCAACGATTCAAATGTTTTATTTTTTGTCCTAGTCATTATGGTGGCAATAAAAAGACCTAATGAAAACATCCATTATGCTTCAAATAGTAAAATTATACAATAGTAGAATTATACTTTTATAGTCCGCATTTATTTACAATTTTTTTTTTTTCAGTTTCCAAAAATACCTAAATTTGTTTAAAAAAAAATATGTAAAATTGTATCTCTTATAACGTCACATAGTGATTTAATTTGAATAATCAGAGAACTATATTCTAAACTGTAAGTAGTCTTCCTCTGATAAAAAAACATTAAATTACCAAAATCCGATTAGGTACTCTATACATGGTACCATCATTTTCTTTGTTAGTCGTGCAAAATTATATTTAAGCAAAAAAAAAAACGTCAATTAATGTCAATTTAAATTACTCTAAGCATCCCAGAACTTTTAGAACAACTGTATATAATATAAATTATGTTGAAATGTACTTGTTATTTATTTATATATGAAAAAAATCCGCCCCTCTCGTTAATCAAAACTGTACCTACCCCTGCGTTAAGGGGCGTACTTGGGTAAATTGATAAAATGTAACACATTTACTATACATTCTTATATTTTATAACCCAAGATTCACACACAGTCCATTTGTAATAATAACACTAGGGTTGAAGAGACACTTTTAAAACTACCGGTGAATCACTCTCAAATAAAAAGCTTCAATGCGATCTGTGACTGTAGGCATATTTCATATAGATACAATTATTGTAAAGGTGTTAATCTACTTTAAAACAATTTTTTTAGTATTAAAGTGGCAACGATAAGGGTTGATCGTCTGTACATTAAAATTATGTTGCCGCTGTAACACATATATTGTAACATTAAAATTATACAGCTAACAATGAAACGAAACTATTTTTCAAGTATCTGTCGACTGTTGATTCATTCAAGTGTAATTCTCCCCTCTCTTTTGGGTTTCCTTAATAAAATAGTACTTTGAATTACAGATTTTTGAGAAAACTGTATATGATAATGACCCTCTCTAATTTCTAACTTAATGACGATTTTCAGGTCATAAGCCCCAAAACTATAATTTCCACCTCTTCCAGGGGTCCAATAATAGTATGGAACTATTTCGATTAGTTTTAAAAAAAGAAATGGCACCCCTTAATTTTGAGTTGAAGTATATGTAAATTTTGTATGGTGTCTTTTTCTTGATTCGGAAAGGAGAAGGGATGAACTTTTAAACATTTTAGTCCAATAAAGTACTGTTTAAGCACTATTTCCAAGATATATACTTGCTATATGAAAAAAATCGGTGTAACGATTTAGAAGACACAAAAAAATAAAAACAATATATGTATTCTCAGCTCCGCACTGAAGCTAAAAAATATAATAAAAAGCACGAAACAGAAGTAAACTTAATGGAGTAGCCTATTATGGTTTTTTATTTCTATGGCAACACAACGATTGCGGAGCTCAGATGATAACAATCTGTTCACACGAGTAAAAAAAGACATATCTTTTTTTAACACGCTTATATTAGCTTCACGTTGTATGTATGTATGTATGTAACTATGTAACTAAAAGAGATAGGCAGTCGAACGTACATGCGTGTATTCATCGTTGTTTACCTGAAGTTTTCAAGTAATACAGACACGTATGTACTAGAATTAAAAAACACGATTTTAAAGCACATCGAACTAAAAAGTGGAAAATAAAAAAATATAGTTTAAAAAAACTAAAAAACACGCTTAAATAGTAAAATAAACTAAAAAGTAGAAAATAATTTTCAATATAGAAATCAATTAATAAAAAATGAATAGTATTGTTGTGAAAAAAGTGTGGGGCGCTTTTCAAGAACTGATATAAGTAGCACCCCACGCTTTTTTCACAATAATACTATTTATTTTATTATTAATTGATTTCTATATTGAAAATTATTTTCTACTTTTTAGTTTATTTTACTATTTAAGCGTGTTTTTTAGTTTTTTTATACTATATTTTACTCGTTCGAACTGCCGGTGTCGATTAAGTTAATGTCTGTCAAGCACCTTTTTTGTGCTTACTGTTGACTTACCTTACACGGAGAGTATCACACGCGAATGTTCAACGAAATCACCTACGTGCTTTTGTTCGGTTTTCTTTAACTTACATCGAAATGTTGAGAGCTGTTTACAAATCCTGGCTGTCTTTTATTTTTCACATTACCGTCTCCCACTCAATCAATAGCCATTCTGGCTAATTGGACAGTTTCTCGTGTGCGCTAGCGTTTAAAAAAACTTAATAAATGTTGAAACTGTACAGCACGTTTACTAATCTTCACGCTTCAATTCATCCGAGATAAAGTTCCAAGTCGATAGTCGACATTTCTTCGATTTTCTTCTTTCAATAGCGCAAGTTAGTGATGGGAATCCGAAAATCCG